GTCCTGAACTAGTTAACTGGCTAGTGAAAACAGTTTAAAAGTTAACTTGTAGAAACACTCACCTCGAAGGAATTACCAACTCATCGCAGTGTTTGTTTTCAACTTGGCCCCCTTCCTTCTGCCCCTCTCTATGACTGGCCATAATCTAGCCAGGTCTTTATTTCTCCATTGCACATTTTGTAAACATTATTACTGGACCGTGGGAAATGCTATGGGGCAGTTAATGTCACTCGGGGGTGTTGTGCATTCAGAGTCCTGCTGGGGGCCGCAGGGGCGAGGGGGCAGGGGGAGCCTGAGCCCTTGGTCTGGGCTTGGAGAAGGCGCCTCCCTTCCTCCCAGCTGGCCATGACATTAATAAGAGATGTCTCACTGGGGAGGGAAAAGTCTTTATTGAGCAAGGTGAAGAGGAGAGGCAGGGAAGCTGGAACCCACGTCTGCTCCACTCTGCTCCTCGCAGGGAGGGAGAAAGAGACGGACGGACAGACGGACGGCACTCCTGCCACATCTGAGAGGACAGGAAGCTTGGTCGGCGGTGGCACGGGACCGCTGCTGCATCCAGATCAGTTTGGGGCTGGGACACAGGAGCTGATGGATCTGAAATGTAGAAACTTCCTGTCAAAGGGGCAGACATGGGTGTAGAGCCGTAATCAACCACAAAACTGTTTGCTATCAGCTTTAGGCAGCTGGGAGTGGATCGGGGACCCAGAATACAGGCTTGGAGGGCTTTGTTCACTCATCCCCTGTAAACGTCCAAGGCCATCGGTGCCCTGTGGTGACTTGAAAGCCACTGCCCCCAATCCACTGTGGGAATGGGGGCACCTGGGTTGGTTCTGTGCCCTCTGCCAAGCCCTGAGGATGTAGAACTCGGTGACCCTTGCATGTCACACTGGGAGATGTGCCCTGGCCCCACTTCGAGGAAGAACTGTGTTGTTCTTGAGGTCACCCTTCCCGGGGCAGCAGGGTGGCTGAGGCAGGCTGGGCTCTAATGGACAGGACCTGTGTAGAGCTCCCCGCTGGCCAATTCACAGCCCATTCCCGCTTCCTCCTTTTCTCAGACTTCTTTTGGAAGTTGCTGGTCCCAAATAGCCATACCAGACTCCAAATCCTTGTCACAACTTCTGCTGCAGGACCTGTGGCTCAGTGTTCAGCCCTCTTGGTCCAGTGGGGAAGATAAATATTAATAAAGGAAACAAAGCAATAAAGTAAAAAAAAAATGCAACTGAAATTGTTGCTGAAAAGAAGAGTTTCTTTCCTTTCTATAAGGTGGCTTCAGAGGAGATTCAGACCTGGGCACAGGTAAGATAGAGGCACCTGTCCTGAATGGGAGCTGTCGGCTCTAAGGAACAGGAACAGAGCCATGGGGTCTCTCCAGGATGAGGCCAGGCCCAGGGGTGGCCCTAGGGGAGGAGAGAGACAGAGAGAAAGCTGCTCGGAGGTCGGTAGGACAGGGCCAGCGCCAGGCATCAGACACGCAGGACAGAGACAGATGCCAGGATTCTGGTTTGCACACCGGAATTGGCAAGTTTCAGGCCTGCAGAGACCTGATCGGAGCCACACTGTGAAAAGGTCACACAGTCTCTGGGAGCTGGGACAGCCCATGTGACTCTAGGAGGGGGGTCTGCACTATCTGGGCAACAAGGAGCCACTGGAAAGGGACTCCGGAGAGGAGTAGCTGCAGAGGGCAGGGCCGCACTCAGCCTGATGTGTGTCTCACCGTCCTGGGTGTGAGGTCACCCCCAGGGAGGGCGCCTCAGGACAAGCCGGGCACCAGCGCTCAGGCTCCTGTCCAGAGGGACCCATGAGGAAATATTTGCCAGGAGAGCTGGGGACAGAGCAGGATGCTGTCATTTATTTTTTCAAACCTGTGGGATTTCTGGGGCCTAGAGCCAGCAGCAAAGCAGTGATTTGTGGAGGCAGAGGCAGGCACAGTCACCGTGCCACGGGGACCGGTGTCCCCTCCGGTGTCTTATTAGGACAATTCATCAGGCAGGCAGGGTGGGGAGCGAGAGAGCAGCGCAGAGCCGAGGGCAGGAGAGGGACATCACAGGGGTGGGACTGTCAGCTGCCTGTGCGGCTCTGAGTTCTGGAGTTGGGGGTTAAAGTAGACTCGGCTTCATCTGGAAAATGACAGGAGTGAGGTGGGGGGACAAGGCCGCTGTCAACTTTAGCGAGTGCACTGTTGGGGGTTCCACGCTGGGCCACTCGGTTTACACGTGCTCAGAACTGGCCACCATGACCCGCGTGGCGCGGGACCGGAAACGACTGAGGACAGAAGCCCTGCTGAAGCTGCAATTCGGGGGGCACCAAAGCCACTGCCCCCACCCCGGCCTGAAGGCACAGGTCTTCTGCCAGGGAGCAGGACTGGCCAGCTCGGGGTGAACAGCAGGCGTAACTGAGCATCGAGTAGCTCAGCCCATCAGCGGAGTGCTCCACTTTCACATTCACCTGGGCACCCCGGGTGGCACTGACATGGGGAGGAGTACAGGGCGGGGTCAAACACCGGATACCTCTCTCTGCGCACTTTCCACACTCCTCCTCGTAAACACAAACACAGATACACAGAACTGGTGCCCTGGGCCGCACCCACGGAAGGCAGAGTTCACATGGGTCCTGGGGCCACAGGAGAGGACAGTGGGCTGGGCAGTGGGTAGAAGCCCCACCTACAGCACAGTCTTGCCCTGCCGTGGGGCTGGCCCGTGCCCTCCCGGGCTCCAGGCTCACCCAGGCCCATCTGAGTCACCCACAAGCACCCGCTCTGTGTCAGGGACCCTGTTGTCATGGGATGGGGGAGATGGAGGAAAAACCACTGCACAGAAATAAGACAAGTTCGGAAGCCCCAGCAGATAGAGCAGAGGGGGCAGAAGCCCACTCCAGACACAGGGCTGCTGCCGGTGTGCGTCCCCTCACTGGCGCCCAAACTCATGGTCTCGGGTGGTGGAGAACCCCAGGGCCAGTATTTAACATTCCTTGAGCATATAGCTTCTGGTGAGACCAGCAAAACTCATGACATCGGAAGGAGGAGGGACAAGAACTTCAGATCACAGCCGTACTCTTTCATCCTTGGAGACTTGGTGTCCTGAGGGGTAAACAAACCTCCCTTCTGGCCTTGAGAAGATTAGACTAGACCAGAGTGGTGTCAGGACCCTGGCTTAGTGCAGCAGGTGTTAATATTACCTGGCCACACTTTTAAATGGTAGCATTAATACTGCTGTTAATTACGGAAGCCAACATCAGTGAGCACTCACTTTACGCTGGACACTGCCTGTCCTGAATAGATGTGTTTGTCTAACCCTCAGCACCCAGAGAGAGAGAGAGAGAGAGCTAAGATACAGGGTGTGATCAGAAGACAAGATGAATGCTTACATTTTAAAAATTACCCCAAAACACTCATTGCTATTAATCCTCCTCGAAAATACCCCCTGCCTCACTTCAAACACGCTTACCTCAATCACACTTGCTACTTTCCGCACCCAGTTTGAATTTCTAGTTGAAACGTCATGGCTGCCTCCACCTCCCGAATCAATTCGAAACGTTCACCTGTCATGGGCACTTTGACTTGGAGAACATTAAGAAGTCACCCAGTGGCAGTTCCGGTGACCAAGGTGGACGAGGACATGCTGGCGTGTCTGTAGGCGCTGCCTTTCCACCGCGTGGCACTTGGCAGCCGCATTCACCTTTGTTTTCAATCACACTTTGTAAAGAGAAATCCTAGGACTGCTTCAGAAAGCGGCACAGATGGGGGGATAAGTGCGTTCGAAGGGAGGGGCAGGATTTTGAGGAGGATTCGTGGCAATGGGCATTTTGCTGTGACTTCTTAAGAAATTTACTCTTTCACTGCACATTTTGATCACACCCCATATAATGAGCCTTTTTCATCGATGAAGAAACAAAGAAGTAGAGAGGTGACGCTGCTTTCCCAAAGTCACACAGCTGTTAAGCCACCGAGCTGAGAGCCCACAGCTGAAGCAGCCTGGCCCACGCAGGGTGCCAAAGATCCCAGAGGATTATTCTGAGTAAGAACTCTACGGTGGGGACAGGGTGGGCAGGACCACCTCACTGTGAGCCTCAGCTGCTGGTTGGGCACCATGGGGCTTGGTGACCTGACCATAGTCACCTCAGCCTAGAGGCAGCAGGCACAGCCTGGGTCTGGGCTCCGATTTCTCTTTCAGCACCCTGCACACACACGCACACACACCCCAGCTTCCTTCTCTGAGCATCTCGCCCATCCTGTTTATGACCAGTACCTGGTGACACTACCTGGCCATCACTGCTGATTTTTTTCCAAGGCATTTCCATCTTGATCACATCTCCCTCCAGACATGGAGACAGACCTGGACACAATACTGCTGGAAGTCTGAGGCAGGCTTTATGTTTACCTGCTGCTGAGACAGGTTTCCCCCTAAGGCGAAAGGCATAGAGGTGATTACAACCAGCAAGAGAGCAGCAAACAACAGAATCAGTCAATTATGGAAGAACTTTTCTCCTAGAAAATGGTGCCAAGTACTTAGGCTACAATGAGACAAAGGCAGACTGATCCCTTTAGATCTTAGCACTTTCTTCCAATACAGCCGAGGCCTAGGTGGGGGGACCAGCAGAGGATGGATGTGTGTCTGGCATTCACTGGTACCCAGGCTGAATAATACATCAAAGGACTGTAAGTTCGCCTCGAAAGCCTGGCCAGCCCACTCTCCTGCAAGCCAGACTCCCTGGGGACTGGGCCTCACCAGGTGTCTGCAATCAGACAGAAAGTAGGAGGAATGGTTCTGAGCAGAATCATTAAAGTCAGGCTCTGGGGCTGCAAGACAAAAGAAAAGAACACCGTCAAGGCCCCTACCACTCACGCCTTGGAATGGCCCTGTGCCCTGGGTGCCAGCGGACCCCCACCCTCAAGAGTTTACCACCGCCAAAGGTAAGCCCCTTGGGACCTGAGGCTGCTCCCTGCACTTGGTACCTGTTGTTTATTAAGAGAGACGTGGGTGCTTAGGAAGGAGTGGTAGCTTCCTGGGTGCCGGGCCCTGTGTAGTAGGCTGAGCTCAGGGAGAAGTAGGAGCCATGCAGACCGTCCTCCCTCACTCTCTATCCTTCCTTCCTTGAAGACCTCCGCCGGGAAGCACAGGTAGAAAAACATGGTCCCTGCCCGTGGTGCTTAGGGTGGTGTCGATTTGATCGGCTTTGGGGTCTGCTCCTGATGGTGCACACTTCTGAGTGCATCTGGGTAGTCATGGAGGCGTGATTTTGGCTTCCCTGTATGGTCCCCGGCCCAGTTCCTGGATGGCACTGATCCTCTGTTCCGCTTCCCAGCCATCTGGAACTCAGCAGTCCTGCTCCGCCACGCACTTCTACCACATTCTGCCTTGCTGACGGCCAGCCGTGGACTGAATCCTCAGGAACTGTGAGCTAAGTGAAACCTCTCCTCCTTCAAGTTGTGGGTGTGAGTATTGTTTCCAGCAACAGAAAAACCGACTAATGCACTGCCTGTACCCAAGGCAAGGGAAGGTTGGAAGGCCTTTCCCTGTATGTCTATCCAGCGCCTGCTGTCTGCCACTAACAGGCTCGATCAAGGATCCCAGACATTTTGCAAAAGAGAAAAGGGTGATTCCGTGAGTGGACAATGTTCTGTGGCACTGGGCGAGTGCAGAGCTTGGACCCAGTTTTGCTGTGCTATGGCGAAGTCACCTCCCGCTTCCTGGGTTCTGTCTAGCTCGAAGTGAAGGGTCAGCTGTCCACCCTAGGAGATGAACCCCTGGCCCGCTCTGGTGTTCCTAAAAGAACCCAGCACAAAACTAAACATCGTGGAAAGAAGACAAGAAATCCCTGGGCTTCGGAGTCACCAAGCCCTTCTCCCAGCCGCATCCGGCTTCCGTCCACGGCAGCAGCCGGGCACACATAGGCAGCGTTGGGTGGTTGTAACTGTTCTTAGGAAGCTGAAAGATTTGCACCTTCCAATTTATGGACTGGACAGCCCACGTTTCTTGCTTCTTGCCTGGGGCTATGCGAGTCCACCCGGTCTCCCCGTCCTCCCCATGAGCTCTGCTGGCCAGTCCATCTCCGGTGTTGGATGGCTCTCATCTCGCTGCCTTTGTCTCCTGCTTCTTGCCATGTTGTTCCTAACCTTGTCACCAGAAAAAACCAACAACCAGCTGGGCCTGGTCGAGCACAGCCAGTGCCAACAGATCTCAGGTTGTTAATAAAATATTTTTGGTTTTTGTTCGAGTTTAGCTCTTTTCTTCATTATCCTGCCTTAGCGACCCCGTATTTCTCACCCCGCCTCCCAAATGCCAATCACCTGCATACCTCCCACATGATTTTTACCACACTCTTTTACCACCTACCATTCCATACCGAAGATATTTTCTAAAATAAACACTTTCAAAATAAATGTTAATAGGTCTTATTTTTTAAAAATAAGTTTTCGATTTACAGGAATACTGAACAGAAAGTACAGAGTTCTCATATATCCCCTCTCCTCCCTGTACATATTTTCCTGTTATTAGCATCTTGCCTTAATGTGGTCCATGAGCTCCAATTGAGGAAACAATATCGGCCCATTATTATTAACAAAGCTACAGTTATATAAACTATATATGTTATATAATATATAAATATATTTTATATAAGCGATACATATTGTAGAAACTGTATATTATATAAATGGCATAGCTTATATAAATTGTATAATATATAGTTTATATAGCTATATAAGGTATATAATTATAATAAGCTATATATGCTATATATAACTATATATCATTGGTTATTATCATAGCTTATATACATAGTTTATATATTAGGGCTCACCTTATGTGGTATACCTTCCTCTTCATTTTGATGTGCATGTGAATCCCCCATTCATACCCTACAGAATAAGTTCATTATCTTAAAAAGTGCTCAGTGCTCCCTCTATTTATTCCTACCCTTCCGTTCCCCTGATATTTTTACCATCTCTCTAGTTTTTTCTTTTCCAGAAGGCTGTAGAGTTGGACTCGCATAGTATATAGACTTTTAGACTGGCTTTCTCAGCTCACTTTTTTTTTAGCACATAAATTTATTTAAAGGGGGAACTTCATAACATCACCATCAAAAGGGGATATTCACACTCATTTTTCATGAATACAGGGAAACATGGGGATAGCAGCCAGAATGGAAGAGTCACTATTTCAGGAAAGTAACGGAAAAACTAGCAAAACTGCTAGAATCAAGTTTTTCAGAATTCTAGAAATTCAGCAAACCCTTGCTGAAATCTAAAGAACACGCATTCAATAAAAATGGCTGAATCTCCTTAAGAACAGAGAGTTCCAGGGCATTTTAGTGCACCATATTTCCATACCGTGCTCCTCAGCTCTGAGTTAGCCTTGGAAGCCCGCAGCCCCTGATCAGGGTGAAACCCAGGAGCCCTGCCTCCCTGGAGGGGACAGAACAATGCTGAAGCTCCTCTGAAGCCTCGTGCCCAAAGAACTGTCACTACTGTACTTCGGTGGACCCGTGGATGGCGCCACTGGCGAGGGTGTCTTTATTTGACTTTATTCAACCCAGTCTGGTGTGAAAAGTCTGGGTGAAGACATCGATTTGCTTCCTGCCTGCATGAGGCAGTGAATCACAGTTGGTACAAACCACATGCCAACCAAAAACCTAAAAGAAAAAAAAAATCTGGGAAATAAGTGGCTCATAGAAGCTTTGCAAAGTGCTGGCATATTTCTGAGACTCTAGATGTCCATGTGTGTGTGCAGAGCTGTACGCATACACGGAAAAGATATGACAAGGCCCTCGGTTCTCACTTTCATCTGATCGTCAGAGTGTCCACAAACCGGAAGTGAAGAGCTGCCAACTTCCTGGCCAAGTGTTGAAGGTATACCCCATACACAGGCAGTTCCACAGCAAAAACCGAGAGACACTAGTTCCAAGCATTGTAAGTAGATCTTTGCTCAGACATTAGCTTACCAGTAAGCTGAGTAGACACTGTAATGGTCACCCATGAAAAGCAGTGTAATTCACCATGATAACACGGCCAAAACACGCGTGATCGTCTCAACAGATACAGAAGACACCTGATAAAATTGACAGCCTTTCGTGGTAAAACTACTCGACAACCTGGAAATAGAAGACAACTCCCTCAGCCTGATCAAGGGCACCCATAGATTTCACAGCTGAACTCCCACTTAACGATCAAAGACTGAGTTCCCACTATGGGCAGGAACAAGACAACAATGTCTGCTCTTGCTATTTGTATTGCAACTAGCAGTTCTAGCCAGGCAATTCAGTGCATTATTGTTCCACCCTCCCTAAGACATACTGCTCAGGCAGATAGCCTCAAACAACCAGCAAGTACCATCCCCTAATAACCAGAGACTTGTCCCCATCACTTCTACGTGAGGCCCTTGGTCACTCCCACCTGCCAGGTCATCTGGGAAATGTAGTTTTAGCCTTGGCCATGTGACTTGGTAACATTCTGGTGATGACAGAAGAAGAGCTCTTTGCCAAGGCAGGATGCAAGAGTCTGTCTCTGACTCAACCCACTTTGAGTAGTTAAATCCTGAGGCTTAATTATGGTGCATTTGGTTTACCAACACACTGAGGCCAAATCCTGCTCAGGTCACCAAAATGGTGATTGACCATTAGTAGGAATCATTAGTAATGATTGAACTCACTCTTCTTCTATAAATGTGTTTTAAATAGCCAGTTTTGTCTCAAGTTAGAATGACAATAATAGGGATAATAACAGTACTACCCTCTTGCGAAGTACTGTTATTATTCCTATCTTTTAGAGGAGGGCAGAGAGGTGAAGAGAGGTGAAGAGGCTTGCTTACGGCCACTGTGCTTGGTAAGTAGCTAGATCACTCAGACCCAGCACCACCAGGCTAAAAAGCTTCTATCTTGGCTTTCTCATAAGGTGTCCCAGGCAGTGACCAACCTAATGATTCCAGGACTGGGCACCAACATAAAGGTGAAGGTCAGGCTCCCCCTACAGCTGCCCTGGCTTAACCCCGATGGCCACATGCCATCTCCATGCATGTCTTACATAAGGGTGATTGTGATCCATTCTGGGCTTGCTTTCAAGCCCTGTTTATACATAAACAATCTTCCAGTTATGCTCTTGCTGAATGCTTTTTGAAGGTCTCTAATTGTTGGGGACAAAAGACAATTAAAGTCCACAGCCTGCCGTGCCATCCGAGGCCTCCCAGGCTCCTGACATTTGGCTACTCTGAAATCACAGCCTGAGGCCTCTGTCCTTTGGGACCCTGCATGAGTCACACATGGCCAGCCCAGTGCAAACCCAAGTGACTTGTTTGTCAAGGACGGAAACTTGGCAAAACCATTAGTGTCCATGAAAGAAATGTTCCTAGGTCTGTGAAAGATGGGATTGGGACCCAGAACACAGTTTGAGTCCCGTGGAAAATGACACAGAAGCCACACGAGGACATACACCTGTCCCCAGCCAAGAGACACAGGCTGGGAGGAGCCCTGGCCCCAACCCAGGATCCCTGGCTGCCTCTGAGCAGTAAGCCACGCTTTCCTCCACCGGAAACCAAGCCCTGAGTGAGTCAGAGATGCTGACAACTGTGGAAACGGGAAGAAAGAAACAGCAGCGGGGAGAGGAAGACCAGGGAGGAGAGAGGGATGGAAAGAGAAAGACATAAATGCCCCTGGGAGCTCTGAAGGGGGTGGGGTAAGAGATAAGGACACAGTGGGCACACCTGGGGACCCAGCTCCAGTGCTACAGACCCCACCCAGAGACCATCTGAGGATGCGCCAAGAAGGCACAGTCAAGCACCAAGGTCACCTGGCAAATCCACAGGACACAGAGGGGGACAGAGGTGGCAACCGCAACAGTAATGACAGCCAGCATTTACCCAGCAGTACCGGCCAGGTACTGACCTAAGCACTTTACACATACCAAATTCCTTCATTCTGGCAACAGCCCTACAAGGCAGAAATGAATCTTATCCTCGTCTTACAGAAAGAGAAACCGAGGCTCAGAGCAGACAAAGCTTGCCAAGGAGAAGAAACTGAAGAGAACCTAACCCCGGGTTCCAACCAGACCCCAGACCCTCCACTCCATGCCTCTGCAGCCCCAGCCTCAGGAAGCACAGCCTGTGCATGGAGAGCAGACAGGAGACAAAGCCCACCAGTGGTACAATGAGCTCAGGTCCCCTCACAGAGGGTAGGGAGCAAAGGAGACCGCGTGGGCAGTCAGGGGTGGGGGCATCTCGGGATCAGACCTGGCTGGGACATCGCAGAGAGGAGCTGAGGCTCTGGACTTGTCCCACAGAGACCCAGAGGAACTGATTGATTCTCTCAGGTCTCTTCTGTGGTTCAAAGCAGCTCGCTCACACTCAGTCTGGTTCCCAGGCCTCCTTCTAGAGGTGAAGATTTTCTTGGTTTCCTCACCCTCCTGATCCAGACGACTCCCTGTCCCTGACGGGCACCTGTTTGCTTGCTCTCTGGCCGTGTCTCGGGCCATGGATGATGGTAGGAAAGAAGCAGGGAGGCGAGGCTGTCACCTGGGAATGCAGAAGGAGGGGCCATGGCATCCCAGAGACCAGCACGGGGCCGGCAGAGGGTGAGGGGGTCACAGACAGAGCTCTGAGCAGCCTTGGTGGAACCTCTGGAAACAGGGCCAAGGGTGGGCTCGAGCTATCCACACGAGGGGACCTTTCCATTTTCCACACTGACATCAGCTTTATGATGACACTTTCTGAAGAACTTCCTCTGTGCCTGTCACTAGGATTTTAGGCAGCACCTCATTCTATCATCAGGAATAACCACAAATAATACTGTAATGATAATCCCGAGAGCAATGCTGGGGAAGCCCACTACACCCAGGTCTTTCCACACAGGTCATCAGCTTGTGGGCCCACCTAACAATCTGCTGAGGCCAGAGCTTTGCATTCCTCCTTTCACCTCCGGGAAGCTGAGGAGCTCACCTGAGAGCACGCCGCCGGACAGAGACCAGCATTCAAAGCCATGGTTACAACCCTGCCTGTGGTTTAAACCTGGCTCTGGATGCAGATCGGCAAAGATTCCTAACAGCATTCGTGGTAATCCAGTTCTTTTCTTCATCAGTTGCTCCTTGTTCCCATTTTACACTGCAGTGTCACAGTGGTGGGGCCCAAACTGGAAAACTGGATTCTGCATGTCCACTGTCCAGAAACAGACGTGCAAATCAGACTGGAATTCATATACACCAAAAGCTCATGGCTGCACCCCGGAGACAGTAGAGCTGTCCTCAGGTACTCTCCCCTGGTCAATTCTCAGCAAACACCAGGAGTTAGATAATGTTATATGCCCTTTTACTAATGAGGAAACTGAGGCACACAACATAAAGCAGCATGCTTGGGGTCACTAATAAGTGGCAAAAGGAAGACCTGAGCCAGAGCCCAAGCACCGTTGTGCATTCACATGGTACCTGGATCCCTCAGGGATAGGGATCTCTGTGCAGCCCCTCTATGTACAAGTCTGCGGTTGCCAAAGAAAAACAGTTTCTCTATCTGACTTTCTGGGACTGTTTTCCAATAGACCTGAAGATCGGGGCCTGGAAGCCTCCATCTGCAGCTCCACAGCCACACACAGCCCTGCTGGGCACAGGAGACTGGAAACAACCCAAACGTGTGTGTGGGAAATTGGGAAGGCCATGCTCACACACACCCTGGTGCCAGTTTGCATATCACTCTGCACACAGGCAATCGGCTGCTTTGTCCTTCTTCTCCTTCATCCACAATTCTTTAAATAAACAATTTTATTAGCAAGAAATTTGATACGAAATAAGACATAGGAAGAACAATGTGATGAGTCCCCATTTTACCCATCACCCAATTTTAGCACTTGTCAACATTTTGCCACTAAATTAAAAAAAAAGCATTAAATTTTAGAAAATTAAAGTTCCATCTTATTCCTGTGCAGTATGTGAGGAGGGTGCATGTGTGTGTGTGTGTGTGTGTGTGTGTGTGTGTGTG